ACAGAGGAGCACCTTTCACCGTGAACCCAATTCCTGGCTGTCAGCCCTCAAGGCAGATCAGGCCGAGAAAACAGCTCTTTTTCCTTTTTTTCGAAAGCTCTAGTAACAGACTCTTGCAAGTCAGAATGTGCTTCTGCCCTCCCTCCCTTTATTTGGGCGTGAACTAGGGAGGGGCTTGTCTGGGACATTTACTCACGTTACATTCCTGCCCGGGACTCAGACTCCTTTTATCTGACTGTTGCCTTCGTAGCGACTCTCCCTCCTGTCCCGCAAGGCCACTCCCTCTGCCCTCTACACGGGCTCTGTCTCCCACCAAGGCATATTGGGTTACAGCTCCCATGCTCCTCAGCTGGAAGGGATGAGGAGAGTTGTAGTCAGATGCATCGGGAGGGTCTGCTGGGTTGGGATAGACGGACCTTGAAATGTGCGTGGTGTTTGAAGACTGTTGGTTATGTGCAAGGAGGTCTTTGCAAATGTCTGCCCTTCTGCTGCCTTCATAGTCCGCTGCACTCAGCATCTATGGTCCTCTGAAGCGCAAGGGTCCATGAGTTCAGTTCCCAGTACAGCAGGGTTCCTCAACCTCAGCAACTTTAAGATGGGTGGGCTTCACCTCCCAGAAGTGTATTCCATGTGTATGCACAGGTCATCTTGTACCTGGGCCTCATGCTGGCTGGGGAATTCTGGGAGTTGAAGTCCACCCATCTTAAAGTTGCTGAGGTTGAGGAACCCTGCAGTAGAGGGTTTGAACACCATAGAAGAAGACCTTGCTATGTGCATCTGACGATTCCCAGTAAGGATGAAACTGGTCACGTACTGCAACTGTCCCTGGAGATACAGTACCAGCCCTTTGGAACATGTGGCTTGGTTTGGGTTGACTTGGCAGGTGGCTAAGGCCCAAAGCTTGATGGTCTTTAGGGAAGGCTGTAGCTCAGGGTTCAAACACCTGCTTTTATTTAGGAGACCAACATTTCCAGAGGTGCCCATAGGGTGTGGCCACAGGCAACACATAAAAAAATAGATGGAACGTCAGTCACACCATCATGGTCATCATCTTGACTTTTTTGACCATGCCATGTGAACATCCCTGACCATTTCAAAGATGATGAAGTCAGGAAGGGGGAAGGCTGCAGCTGATCGGCCCAAGGACATGGGGAGTCACAGTCTGCAGCCTAGATCTAATGTGTTGTTCAGTCATTCAGTTGCTTCCAATGAACATTGTTTTAGCCAATTTGTCTGTCAGTCACTGGTATTTGGAGTTCTTGTAAGGTCCTGCTTGGGTCATTGGTGATAGCTTCTGGTCACTTTCTCTTCCCTCAGCCTCTTTTTCAATTGCTTTCCCTTTTTCCAAGCATCAGGGTCTTCTCCAATGACTTTTGTCTTTGCATTATGGATCCAAAATATGTAAGCTTTCGCTTCCTTATTTATTAGGGGTTCTAGGGAGCAGCGTGGTTGTACTTCATATATTAGTGGGTGATTTGTTCTTCTTGAGGTCTGAAGTCTCCTCAGCAGTATTCTCCAGCACCACAATTCAAAGGCATCAATTTTTCTTCATTCAGACTTTTTGGGTGATCCACCTGTCATAGTCAAACGTTCCAGTTGGGAAAACTGTGGCCTTGACAGTGTGGGCCTTCATTGTCAGGGTGATGTCTTTGCATCTCAATATGTTGTCTTGATCTGTCATGGTTTCTCTCCTGTGTAGCAGATGTCTCTTTACTTAATGGCTACAGTCACCATCACTGTGAACTGTTGAGCCCAAAAAGATTACGTCTATTACTGCTCCAACTTTTTCTCCACCAATTTGCTTTGATTTGGCATGGCCTGTTGACATAGTCTTAGCTCCCCCACCCCACCACCAATACTGGAGTAGCAGATTGGCTTTTACCTTCAGAAAGAGATTCCTTAAGCCTCCCTTTCTTCTAGCCATCAAAATGGTATCATCAGCATATCTGAGACGGCTTCTCCCAGCAGTTTTGATTTCTATTTTTCCTAGTCCAGCATTTCTCATGATATAGACTACCTGTCCATTAAATTAAAGGGGCCAGTCTACAATCTTGGGGTTTTCCTCTCCCCATCTTGAACCACTAAGTTGCTCCACATTTAGGAGGGATTTAGATGATGAGCCTAATGATGAATAATACCTTATACCTCTCAGACTTCCTCAACCTGGTGCCCTCCAGATGTCATGCCTTGGATTCCCACAATCCCTTGCCAGAACTGACCATTTGAGCTAGGGATTCTGGGAGTTGAAGCCCAACACAGCTGGAGGACCCGGGAAGGGGGCTGCCTTTGTGATTCCCAAATGAAAGCCAAGTCCTGCACACCAGAAAGGTGGGCAAAGGGTGGGCTGAGGATAGAAGGGCTTTTTTGGCAGGGATCTGACGTGTCTGTCTGCCCCAGGTCTGGAGGGGAGCCCTCGCCCGCAAGCGCTGCCGATACCTCCGGGCCATCTACACCATCATGGCCTACTACAAGCGCCACAAGGTGAAGTTGTACCTGCTGGAGCTTGTGCAGCGCTTCCAAGCTGTGCGCAGCATGGCCGACTACGGCAAGAGCGTGGTGTGGCCTGAGCCTCCAGCTGTGCTGGCCCAGTTCCAGGAGAGCAGCAAACTCATATTTTGCAGGTAAACCCACCCACCCAGCCACCCACCCCCCGCCTTCCTGAGGGATCCATTACATCAGGCTCAGCCTAATTTCCAGCCCACCCAAGTTTGCTCCACTTCTACCTCTCTGTAATCTACATCAGACGTTCCCTGGTTGCCTTCATCCAAAAAGCAGCACAGATGAAAGTCAGGGGCTCCCTTGTTCAAAAGACCCTTGAATTCTGGGGGTCCACAGTAGAAGGATGGAGCTTCTGACCTTGGCCACGGATTCACCAGCTGCCTCAGGCAAGTCCGTGGCTTCACTGTGAAATGAGAACCGTAACGCTCTCCTCAAAAGGGTGAGGGTGCGTTCCTTAAGAAGAGATTGATCTTTTTCAGCCAAAAATGCAAAAGCCAGACCTCTGGAGAATCCCAATATTACCGTTTCTAAAAAAACAAGTTTCTAGTTCTTGTGGCTGTGCTTGGAAAGAATAAGAAGGCAGGGACATTCTTAAGGCTGCTGCAGGAGCACGGAGAGCCTGGGAGAGCCCGTGCCGAAATTTCAGACGCGGAGGAAGGCTGATCAGTGTTTCCATGGCCTGTGGGTTTTCTTGCCTCCTGAGCACCTCGAAACGTGGAGGGCTTTCTCACTGAGAAAATCCACTGCAGAACGGATCCTGGGGCACCTCGCGGCTTCCCGCCGGCCCCGGGGCAAGCCAACCGGGAAGGACGCATTCTCTGCTTCCGTTTTTTCTGCAGGTGGCGAGCGAGGCAACTGGTGACCAACATCCCTCCGTCCGAGATGGGCCAGATCAAGGCAAAGGTGGCAGCCCTCGAGGTCTTGCACGGCCTGCGGAAAAACTGGGGCTGTTCCCGAAACTGGAGGCAGAACTATTTGGTGTCGGTAGGTGCCCCGGGAGCTCTTCCGCAGCTGCTTTGTTCAAACGTTTTCCTCTGTCGGAAAAGGAGTTTGCAGTCTGCAGCAGGCACATCGATGGGGCCTGGGTTTATATTGCAAGCTAAAATGCACGCTAGCAAACTTCAGTATGGGGTGTGCGCATTGCTTTCCCTTGTTCTCTTCCCCTGCCAAAAAGAGGCTTGTCTCTTTCCATCTCAGCCTCTCAAGGGTCTTTAGAATGGGTGTTCATTTTGGCAGAGGGGGGGTTTAGCTGCATTTTATTGTTGCAATCCCATTAAGAGCATAACATAAGCCGTGCCTGGCGGGACTGGACCCCTGGCCCATCTAGTCCAGTCCTATGTTCTCCCAGTGGCCCACCAACTGCTCAAGGAAGCCCACCGACCGGTCTCCCAGCAGATGCCTTCAGAGGCCACCTGCTGCCATCAAGGCTAAGAGCCCCGGATCCCCAGGACCTCCGTGAATGGGTCCAATCCTTTTTTGGAGGATCTGGATCAAGGCAGTTGGTGTAGATCGCTGTGTCTCAACCTTGGTCCCTTTAAGATGTGTGGACTTCAACTCCCAGAATTCCCCAGCCAGCCAAGCTGGCTGGGGAAT